AATCTTTTTCAAAGAACACGTTCCTACAAATTCTTTATGAACTAATTTCTTAAATTAAAAAGTTCCATTTTAAAAAAGGAATACTGTGACTCTGTCGCCATAATAATTTTAAAAATGTGAAAACGTTTGGAATTTCATCGTGGCGATATAAATATCATTCATTCCGATTCATCCAACTACCCCTTTCCAAAAATATCTTACAACTCGCGCTTTAGCGAAGCAGTTTCTAAATAGAAGAAAGGAACGAGTCCAGCGGCGCAGTAGTTCAAAACACCTCGAACGCAATTTTATCGTGGCAACATTGGACTCACGAAAAAGTTCTTAAATTTCGAAAAAAAATCCGCTGCAAAGATAAAAAAAAGAAACGGTTCAAGAGAGAGAGAGAGAGAGAGAAATCATCGACCACGAGTTTCATCGCGATGCCGATAAATCATTCGGCCCGTGTCATCTGTTTGCTTCCATTTTCGAAAAAAAATATCATAACTGAAAACCCAATTAACCGGCTGGCGAACGATCAGGAGTATCGCCTCGATGAGAGGCCCACCGGGTACAATCCGCTTTTTACAAAGCTTTCTGCAAAGTCGACTCGAATTCGCGAGTAACGCGCTGCATTTTATCCGGGGCCATTTAATTAAACTACGCCCCCCCCCCCACCCCCACCCTCTGTGAGGCTCGAGGGGATGGCGCGGGCGTCCACTGGCCTTCCGTCTGAAATCTGGGAGAGTCACATCATTGAAACCGGCAGCGCGATCATAGAGCTTAATCGTTTCGCATCATTGGAAAAGGAATGTCGGGGATCGTTTTCCTTTTGCGCGAGAATTCTTATTGGAATCCGATATTGCGGATGGCGGAGTGGAAGGGAGAACGGAGGTTGTGTGACTGCGTGTACAGGTGGCGTAGTCGAAGGGAGACGAGAAACGGGGCCATGGAACGAAGCCAGAAAACAGGAAACTTTCAACCCCCCCGCACCCCGTCCTGCTCGTTCTTTCCTGCTGGGAAATGCAATTTATCGTAAGTCGCGCATTTTTATCGTAGTACGCGCCCTCTCGGTACGCTCGGTGCACGCGCACGCTAACCGAAACGAAGGGAATCGTTTCAAAACGGCAAGATCTTACTCGCCCTGTCATTTCTTACCTCGTTGTCGCCGTTATCCGATTTATTCGCTCGTAATCTCGTTTCGCTCCATCTTTAAGTGAATCTCACCCCCACCTCGATTCCCGTCCCGTTCCAAGCGAAATTATCTCGCGCCTCGCGCACGTGCCACGCATACACCGACGCCGTTTAACGAAGTTTACGGCCACGTTTTGGAAATCTTGGCAACTGCGTATTGGAACTTTCGGCTCATCCGATTTCCGAGTGGCGGAGCGTACGTCGTTTTCGAATTCGAATTGAATCCTTGGATTCATTAGATCTTTTGAAGACGACGCTGCGAGACGCTTTCAATGCGTTCGAGAGGAAGTTGAACAACTGTCGAAACAATTTCAACGCCTTGAACTGATGAATTTAATGTAAGGGAGAACGTGGTTCATGGCATCGTCTCGGTATTGCTGTGTAAGTACTATGTTGTGAAGATTTCCTCTTCCATAATTTTCCATCTAAATCTTTGTATCTATAAGATTTCCTTTTCTCTAGTCATTGCATAGAAAAGAAAATAATATATTATATTATTCGAAGTAATTCGAGAAATGAATAACAAAAATTGACTTTCTGCAACTGCGATATATCTCTATAAATATGAATTTATCAGGACGCTAAATTTAGTAGGTTATTCGCGCGTCAGAATTCAATATCTACCAGTTCTCCCGAAATTATTTATCACGTTTACATAATGCTGTTTTATCGCGCATCGTTGGGATTAAACTTTCATTATCCCGGCTATTTAGCAGATAGATACACACACAATCACCGACAGATATGTTAAATAACAATATTCAAATCGTTCCCCTGAATGCCTTGCGATCAGTATTACTAATACGATTACCACTTGCATTTGTAATCCTAACAAAATATGACACGAACTACGTGAAATAGCTTTAATCACGAAATGATATTCACAGTTTCTAACGAGAATCCCATCCATCTATCACCGTAAATAATCAATTTAATTTTTAAACGAAATTCTAACTTTCATGTGCTTGCTCGGGAAAGTATTCAAAAATATTATTTCGGGAATATATTCCAAGTTAGTTTCTAGAAGCGGAGAAGTTGCGAAAAGACTTTCGAAATATGAAGTTCTTAGAGTCTATAAAGGTCTATCTTGCTCACTCGATATTCTTCGATATGCACCCTTCATTGGCTATTTTAAGCAAGATAAATCATTCACAACACGAGCGTATACTTCGCGGTGTACTGAAATCAAAACTGTACTTTTCTTGAGCGTTGATCTCTCTTAAAATACCATTTATTTATTATTGCCCTCGCTGTGTATCATAATGAAATTATTAATTAATTATAAAATTTATTGAAATTAAAAAATTATTATTATGACAATATATATATTAAAATATATAATTAATTATATATATATATATATATGAAATTATTAATTAATTATAAAATTTATTAAAATTAAAAAATTAAAAAATTATGACAATATATATATATTAAAATATATAAATATGTATAAAATACACACACAAACAACACTTCCGTCACATTAAGAACAAAATGACACGATCATTTTTAATTCCCGTAACTGCACGCTAGTATCAACGAAAGTCGCGTTAATCTTAATTTGATTTTGCCCGAGAGTCGTAAGCAATAACCACGCTGTTCCATCCGGCTGCCAGAACGTAATGCACGACATAATTTTTCTGTCGCGATAAATATATTACACGACTGCTCTCACGTATCTCCGTGTCCCGTGAGGAAGACTTTCTTCATCTTGGTTCTGGTTTGTGTATCCAGCAACGTTTTTCAGAGACCTCTCCCCATTACGAGAGGAGTCGCGTAGCATTTTGCTGGCATTTACCAAATTAAGAAGGGAGGCGGACAAAAGAAAGGAGGCGAGTGAATGGCCGGCAGGACAGTAAACCGCGGGAGGGGGGGAGAAAGAAAAGGTTGGAACCGAATCAAGAAATAATACTCGTGTAGTAACGATGCAACCTCGTCTCCCTCGTCGAAATCTCTCTATCCATTCCAGACGGGGCAAATCCCCCCGGTGTTTTGCTCCCTCGACGGCCGACCTTCGTTCTGAAGGAGAAAAGATAGGCGCCCCTCCCTCCATTAAAATATTGTATTATCGCCAGATGACAATGGCCCAAGAGGTTCGTGATTTTCTTGATACAGCGAAAGATATTCGAGTTGACAACGAAGGCTATTTCGCACTCTTCGCCGTTTATTTCTCAAACATTTCTGATTTTCGGCGCGATCCTCGATTCGTAGAGATCGGGAGAATTTCCAATTAACAGCAAAATGTGAAATTTTCAATAATTCGTTCGAAATGAAACGGATCAGTCACATAAAAATCGAAGAGGGTCTAATTTGCGAACAAATTTTTGCTCTTTCGATCTCTTTGAACAATGCTCGATGAAATCTCATCATAATGTTAAAAGCCATACTCCCTCGTCTGTGAAAATAATTTCACGTCTCGATTACGGACAAATCGTCCGTTTGGTGTATTTTTTTTTTTCTTTTTCATTCGCTCGATTGTGAAGATTAATCGGGAACGTTCTTTAAAAAAAAAAAAAAAAGTAGCAAAGGAATTTAATCCGCTCCTTCGTCTCTCGTTCCGGCGCGACCGTTCCCGCCGTGCCCCGAAGGTTTCAGTAAATTACCTTTCTGCAAATTGAAACGTTCAGCAAACGAAACCTGGTCATTCCCCCTCGTGTACAGAGGAACGATCCCCGGTACATAAACGCGGGCATGTATACGTATATTTCAGTGCTTGAGCTAAGAGTGCGTGCAAATACCGCGGAAGGGCCCGATTACGAAAAGGAACACACGAACGTGAATATGTTGCGACGACGACGACGACGAGGCGAGAGAGAAAGTTAAATAACCAGCTAAACGAGAACTAAACTATTATGCTTGATTATTAAACGAAACCCAACCTCCGTATTAAATTTACGAAATCTTTCTCGACTCGGTTCACTCGGTTGTTTATAATTTCATTGTTATCGAGGTCGATTCGATAATCAGTAAAATCGATTGATTTCAAAATGGTGTTTCTCAGAAAGTGTCGAAAAGATGAAAATAAAAGTTTAAAAAATTTTTGTGCATACGTTTCTCGCCTGGCGATATTTTTAATCAGCCTGCTTTCCCACTTAGGGGAAACTTCGTAATTTCGTTGGGAATGATAATCTAAAGTCGGACGTGGTTCGCCCGCTTCTCTTCGTGTCGATCGCGCCGCACACAGCACGAAAAGCTCGCATCGCGAACGAGGGGAGAGGGGGGGGGGGGCCGAACGCACGGAACATTTCACGCGTGACCCAGTTACGCCACCGAACGGAACGTTACTTTTCATTTCAATCTCGAATCCGGGGACAAATAACGGACGAAATTGCGCACGCACAAGGTACTCCCGAGTAAAAACCGATCTATCGCGTTGAAGGATGGAACGAAAGGGGGAGGAGGAGAGGACGAAGGCAAAAGCCGGCGTGTATCAGCGTCGCTGTAACGCGCGGGATATTTCAAAACATGGATTATCCGATGTTCGACGTCATCGTAGAAATTTAATCAATCGGCACGCTTCCATCCATCCCTCTCTCTCTCTCTCTCTCTCTCTCTCTCTCTCTCTCTCTCTCTCTTTTTCTTTATCTCTTTCTCTTTTTCTCGCGCTCCGTGCAGAATTTTAATCACACGAGAATCATAAAAATCCGTTTCGCGGCACGTACACGTAGGCGGAGAGTCCCCCACTTTATTCCTGTCGCTTCGGCGACGAACGAGGCGAAACAAAACTTTTGCCGAGGGAGGATTTTCATCGTACGACGTTTTATTATGTGACAGAAAGCGATGAAAGGCGTTGATCAGTCGGGAGGAAGGAAAGGAACGATACTTACATGGCGCCGACGTACAGGGCGTCCCGCTTGCTGTCCAGGTACAGCGTCCTGTAATACAGCATCCCGCAGCTGAATTCCCTCACGTGTTCTGCAAGCAAAAGTAAACAAAGGGATTAAACACCGTGTGGGCGAGGGGGCGAGGGATCACGAGGGCGGAGGAAATTCATTTCTCTGGGGCGGCTCGCCGTCGTCGCCTGACGGATCGTTAGATTTTCATTATGACTTTTATAATAACGCTGGCCGTTTGTTCTCCCTTTGCGTTTCTCCTTTCGCGAGGGCTCTATCTTCCCTCCTCTAGACCTTTTCATTTCGCGTCTCGCCGTAAGCCAGGCAGAGGCGAACCAACGGCGACTTATATCGCCGTTGTGAAACTCGTTAGAATTACACGACACGTAACAACGTGACGTTTCCCCCGTTTTCGTCGAACGAGGCTGCTGGCCGGTTTTATCGCGGACACGACGTGAACGAACCTAACCACAAATGGACCACGGATCGGCGGTGCAAATATTGCCGAGCGGAACGTCAATTAAAGTCGTTAAATGTTGAACGACCTAAGTTGCGGAATTAGTAATACGAGACTCTGGTTTTTTGAAGTAACAAAGGGGGCGTCGGCGAATTGAAGCAAAATATCGGGACTGATTTCAGAATTTTGAAATCTGAACCCTACAGTTTAATAAATTATAGTTTCATCAGATACCTCGGATAGTAATTTATATAATCTTCATCTCGATTTTTAACAATAATTGCCACTCGCAATCTTAAAATGTCTGAAATTGTATTAGATATTAAATTCAAGAGTTCCAAGAATACCGTTTCATTTCCTTCTCGGTGGTAGAAGAAGAAGGCACTTTTGCGTCGCAGGAGAGCACATCGTTACGCAAGAAGCGCGCTACTTTTTCAAGCTGCTCGGATCTGATTTGCAACAGCAGCCAGGTAGGAACGTCTTTCTCCCTTTCTTCCTACCTCAGCGAACAATGTTACGAGACACTTGGTCCCGGCGTTGCTCGCGTCGTAAAATCGAGACAGCATTAATTCACGAGCAGTGCATTGCGCGATAAAAATGTTCCCGAGGCCATCATCCGCAGAGAGAAACCGTGCCGCACTACTGACGTTTAGCTCGTCTTTGAGACGAGTGTTTAATTGAAACATCGAACCTTAAGACGCACACGTCAACGAATTTATCCCTTTTCTTTTCACTCGGACGCTCGACTTCGCGAACGATGGAAGATTTCACGATCTTTCGCGAGATCGTGCGAGAGCACGTCGGTATACGCGACGAATATAAATCGTCGCGGCGAGAGAGCTTCGAATTATATGCTAAAAAATTGGATTCATCACTTTGCTTCCGTCTTTTTATAAAGAAAAATATCCGTGAGAGAGTGCGCGGGAGTGCGCGGCTATTTTTCACAACATTAAGTCAAGCCGGCAATCATTTAGGAGCGCGCACTGTGTAGCGACTCGGTCTTCTCCTGGGTAAAAGTCGTAGTAGGGGATGTTCGCGCCATTCGCGCGCTACACTCTCCTCCTCTCTCTCCCCATTGCATACACACACACATACACAAAGCCTCGCCAAACACCCGCTTCACCCTCTATCTCGTCGGCCGACACTGATCTGCTTAACATATGAAAGAACGCCGCCCTTTCCTAAATATACTCGTTCTCCACTCTAGGCTAACAGAGCGCGAACAATACTATATTTTATGCGGTATCAGGGGGGGCTAACGTCGAGTGAAAGGGGTCCAAGTGCGTCGCTGCACAGACACACGCGGATCTTCTTCTTTTTTTTTTTATTTTCTTCTCTCTTTCTTCCTCGCGTTTCCCACCCAACTATCCCAGCTGACTAGCTCGCTCTCTCTCTTTCTACGAGTTCTTTGCCCGCGAGCCCATGAATGAATGCAAAAACCTGATCTCTCGTCCTTTATCTTCCGAGCAAGTGGCGCAGCGACGTAGCGGTCGAGCTTAACACGAGACTAACTCGAATTGATGTTCATTGGTGGATCCGGTAACAATGGCACTTTTGTACGAGGCTAACCGATCGTTACGTTTCTCTGCTTGGTTCATCGAGCCTGTGAATCTTGCGGATTACAGCGCGGATTTCGCTCAGCTGAGATTGAACTGTTTTGAGCAAACGTCTGTGTGCTCGAAATGAGATTTTCTTTCGCGTTCTTTAAAGTTTGAAACAGGACGACATTGTCATTACATGGAGCAGGTGTGTCCAATCAAAATTAAAAGAATTTTATTATTTGAATCATTTTAACCAGGAATAATCGTGCTTTTCTTTTAATTTAGTGTTAGAGTGATTAATTACGAATAATTATTTAAGAGTCAACGAAACATTTTTTATTTTAGAGACGATTGGCATATTTGCTACTCCATTCTCAGTTAATATCAATATGTTGCCACCGAACATGCAAGTGGAATTCAGTTTTAATCAAATGTACAGCTCCAGAAAATAATGTGTTCAAGTGTCTTTACAAGACTTATAAACCATACCTGAATATTTATATTTGCGAGCAGACATTTTTCCCACGTGAAGCACACAAAAAATGAAATAAGAAGAAATATTTTGGACGAGACAATTTTGAAAACACTCTTAGTATTGTCACCTGTATCAAACCAGATATTCATGTATCTGAAAAACAAGCTCGGTGTTCTCATTAGAAATTCTCATATTTTTTCAAATTAATATAAATATATCTTTCGAACCAAGGTATCGTTTCACTATAAAAGTTTCACTATAAGTTACACTGAACTGATAAAAAAAATATGCACAGCTCTCAACAACTCTCTTTTGTTCAATTCTGCCAATGATCTAAAAGGTTGGACACCCATGTTACAGAGCTTTTGTCTCGCCCTAATCACTCTAACATAAAATTCTGTCATCGTGATAAGAACGTGCATCAACGTGTCCCTATTTTATCCCTTATAAACGATTCAACGCGCGGAAAAACACACAAAACTCGGCCCGTCAAAACAATCGGCGCCAATAAAAATACGGGACACGTTATTCGCGACGTATACAACTTTCGGTATGCATTACGCCGCAACGCAGGCACGCAGTTCGTTAGATCGGCTCGGATATAAACCGCCGCCCAGGGGATGATTGAAAATTTATACTCCCTGGCACACAAATAGGACCGTGGTTCGTTTTCCCTCGAAGCTCTCGTCAGCAGCGTTCGTCGCGCGCATTATTCCGATTTTATTGCCGCAATAAAATCGTATGGCCCGGCGTGCATGGAAGATGATGCTCGCACCTGCTGCTCGTTCGACCGGTTGATATAACTGCAACACACATCTCCTCCGGTACCCTCGTTCGAGACGCGTCTATTTCCGACGAGACGTAGAAATCGCCTTCTTCCTCCGTGATCTTCGCGGCTGTTGCCGAGGTCAGCCAACTTTCGCCAACTTTATCGAACCTGGCGGCCACTCGCTGCGAGATTATTCGCGTCGTTTGCGAAGTTGCCGAGTTCGTCTCGTACCGGCCACCGATTCGATCGTGAAATTAACTTATTTATAGACGGGATATCTCGCAGTTGCAGATCGTGCGACGTTAGATTTGGGCTAGGTGGGTTTTCTTCATCCCAATTATGATTATGATGAACATTGAATATACCATCTCTGGTAAAACTAGCTTCACTATTGCGACTTGCTCTGTTCATAAACTTCATTATATCTCATAAACGAAGACAGATATTTATATGACTTTTTTTCATTATTTTCAGGCGTACAATCAGCTCTCGAAGTGGGTTCCCACAAGTTACGAAACACTCTGTGTATATATATATATATATATATTATTTCATTAACGCTAGAATTACCAAAGTGGTGAAAATGGCCAATTTATAATTCTTGTTAGATATTTTATAGACGTAAAACAGCGCATTTTTAAACATTTTATTACGAGGTTTCTCTATTTTTTTGACTTCAATGTCTCTGATGGAAATTTTACGCTTTTGATATCGGTGTGATAAAAAAAAAAAATTGAAATGGACAGTTCATGGCACATTCAGAATACACGGTGTAAGAAAAAAATGTAAGATAATATATTTTGCACAAAGGAAAATCCCTGGTGATTTGTAAATTTGCCAATTTAATTTGGAAGAATCATCGTTGTGTTAACTACTAATCTCGATAATCCTGAATAGATTGGCACAAATAAAAAGAAATTGTACTTTTCAAAAGGGTATAACTCTGCCGCGTTAAAGCGACGAATTAATGAAACAGAAATGATATTTCACCCCGTCGTGTGGACGAAATTACACTGTGAATGCGTGAAGGAGTTAATTTTAATCGCGGTCTGAATAAAGGGCTATCGTGACTGAAATTCTGCTTCTATTTCGGTCGCCCATTCAGAAACGTTCGCATTCGCCTGCTTGATGCATATTAATTACGTTTTGCTAATTTCCATTACCCGTTCTAGTCGTACAATCGTAACGAACAATTTGAAAAAAAAAAAGAAAATAAGAAAGGCTTAAATTATTCTTGCACTTCAAATCAATTATCAATGATCGGCGTAACGCATTGCACAGGCTAGTATCGAGATATTAATAACAACGCACTAACCAACTAACTGAATGTAAATCGCTAATTGCCAAATATTTGCCACCGAAGTTGCCATGATCGGTTTGAAAGGCCGATTCTCCAAATCTCTCCAATCGCGCAGTCATAATAGCCAATTTCGCTTTAATAATCCCGCCAGTCGTTACCCGCAGACTTTTCAAATAAATCATTAGAAAATACGTAGTAACTGGCGAACTAACTCGCAAGTAATTTCTTTAGTCTAATCTGGAAATTAGTTTTGTCAAAAATAAATTATCATCTATCATATTTATTATATTCGACTGGCTCGTAGATCTTCAATTTCTGGCAAAGGAATAATCAGCAGTTGAATGGATGAAAAATGAATTATGTTAACACGGTTAAACGAAACTAACGAGTTTCACGGGCTATTTGTTACACGCTGGTGCGCCATTAGTAACACCGTGGACGTGATTATTTACTGTAAATTGGCTTCGAGTGGTCGAAAAAGTGCCCTTAGGTATCGCGGGAGCGATAAGATCATTTCTCCGGGGTTGTTAATGCACACAG